AAAAAAAAAACAATCATGAAAAATTAGAAATAACCTAAATGTCCAACAATAGAGAAATAACTGCATCACTAGGGTGCCTACTATGTATCAGGCATTTTATATATTCTATTATCTTCATAGTGGTTCTGCAAAGTGAATATTATTTGTTTCCACTTTTTAGTTACTTTGTTCAAGGTCACACAGCTAGTAATAGGCAGAACTTAATTCAAACCCCGATTTATATGACTCCATGATTGTTACAAGTACAGACACTAGAGAAAAACTACCTCAGTTCAAAACTCAGTTCCACCATGTATTAGCTATGTGACCCTGAGCTGGTCCATTAACCTCTCTTTGCCTCAGCTTCCTCAGCTATAAAGTGGAAATAATAACAGTACCTTTCTCAGTGGATTAAATGAGTTGTTATAAAAGTATTTAGAACTTTCTATAACAGGTATAGAAGAATTAGCTATTATTATGATTATTATTTTTTCATTATATCATGCTGCCTCAAAAGTCATTAATATTGATTTTAATCAACATGATAATTTTGGTATAGTAAGTGAAAATAAGAATACAAAGGCGTATCTATGCTCATAATTACAATAATATAAAAAGCATTATATAAATGGATAAGAAGTAGAATTTCTACACCCCCAAAAATTGTATTTGATGGGACGTTGGTACTATGGTGAATTTACTGTCTTTTACTGTTTGATAATTTTGTTTTATAAAAATTACAAGGGATATTCTTTTAAGTACCTCTAAGAAAATTTCAATAGCATGGTTGCACACTGCAGCTTCTGCTGTATAGAAATTATACTAATTAGGGACCTACCCTAAGGCTAGGACTTTTGAGGGACTCAGTGGTACTGGCCGAAGCAAGACATTATTGTATAAGGACTGATTTCACAGGTTCTGAAATGACAGAGCGACGTTAAATTTCATGTCTATGGCTCAACAGCTGAGTGAGCTTAGGCCAATTCCTTAATCTCTCAGAGCTTCAGTTTCCTCGTCTATAAGTCAGAAATCATAACTGCCTCTTTTTTTTAATGAGTAGAAAATAAAATAATAAATGTGATGCTTCCTTGATACCTCACCAAGACTATCAAAATTATCATGAAATATTTAATAGAGTCATTCGTTGTTTGATGTCTACCTCTGGAGATATCCTCTCATGTCTTAGGAGACCAGGCTCTGCCAACGCCTGGGGCATTGCAATGCCAGCACATGGCATCATGCTTTGCACATAGTAAGCACTCAATAAATATTTGAATGGCTGTGTGAAAACCTTATAGGAGTGGTCAGTGGCAGTTACAACTATAGAAAGGTGATTGGATTTAGTTCTGGCCCAGGCCAAAGACCTAAGCAGCATGGTATTGCCTTTAGCTGTCATAACAGGGCTGTGTGCTCTGCACAGAGATACCCAGCCCAGGGGGAAGTGGGAACCGAAGTCTAAGCTATGGACCAGGTGGGGGGCAGAGAGCACAGAGTCTGCCTTAAAGGAAAGACGACTTCAGTAATCCCCACCAGGGCACCATCATTCCGGCTAACAGTGGCCTTGTGTCACAGAATCAGTCCTCAAACCTCAGAAACATAGACTCTTGGGAGAATACATTAAGGGCTGAAGGTGGGCTGTGGGACATGACCAGGTGAAAGCCCTCCAATCTAATGGCAGCATGTACCTTGTCCAAGCAAGCAACCTGGCCCTGTTCACTAACCACTCCCCAAGTCCCACAAAGCTGCTCTCTCTGGTGTCTCAGCTGAATGTTTAGGTGGGGCTGAGGGCAAGACTGTTTTTCCACTGGAGGACATGAGTCAGTGAACAGTGAGATTCCACTTAATCACCACCCCAAAGACAAGGTTCTTAAAATCAGGAGCTCGAAAAGCAAGGAAGTGATTAATATAAAGTCAGGATAGTGATTATTTGTAGGGCAGAGCAGGGCAGGGTGGGGCAGGGGTGAGGGAGCTGATGGGAAGGACACAGGGAGGTCTTCTGAGGTCTGACAATGTCCTTTTCCTTGACCTGGGTGGTGGTTCCTTTACAATTACACTACACACATTTTATGTACTTTTCTACATGTGCATTATAGTTCTCAATTTTAAACAGCTGGGAAAAAAATAAAAACTACAAAAGGTTGTGAAGCAGGGAAAAAAAATGACCAGGTTTGTATTATTAAAAGATCACTTGGGTGTAGAACGGAACATTGATTGATGGTGGGGCAACAACAGTGGCAGAGGAAACAGGAGGTGAGGTGGCTGTATAATTTGATGAGAGATTATAATGACTGAGCTAAGGAAAGGTAAAATATTAAGGATATGGCTTACATTATTTTTTTAAAAACACAACTAAAATAAAACAGAGGCTGGCACTGCCTCCTCAGGTCACTTTTTACCTCTTTGCGTTGGGTGAATTTGGCTCAGGAATTACAATCCAGGGCAGGCACAGTCTAAACAGACACACAGAACAAAACGCCAGAGAAGAGCACAATGATGGTGCCAACTTGGGCCAGTGAAGCAACATTCTCCACAACTAGACTGAAGAACAAAATGACAGCATCTTGTCTGTTCCCCTTCCCCCAATTCCCCAGCACTGTTCCCAATTCCCCAATAAAAAAAAATCTTTAAAAAAATAAAAATAAAAAAAAATAAACAGACACACAGGCCAGAACTTACACCCTCCCTGGAAACTCTACTCAGGGGACCCAGACTGTCTGGCCAGTGGCCGAGTATCATGATACCATGATATTATCCAAGTTGAGCTGACACAGGGGTGTCTATTATAACATATAACCAACCATTCAATCATAATATCTAATCACTTGAGACTTTACATGGTGTTTTCACATCTACTCTCTGGTACCAGCATGCTAGCTCCACAAGGACAAAGCTTTTCGTTTTTTTCACAGCTGTAGCCTCAGTGCCTAGAACTGAGCTTGGCACATAGTAGGTGCTCAGTAAATGTTACTGAATGAATGACCACATTTAATTATTACTCATATTTAATCAGCGCAACAATCCTGGGAAGATACGTAGGACATATATTATTTTCCCCTTTTTAGAAGTTAGCAAAAAGAGACTTGGGGAGATTAAGGAACATGTCAAATAGTCGATCATTTGGTTGATGACAGAATCATGACTTCATTTCAGGTTTTAGATTTCGATTCCCTTGTTTTTCCCACTTCTTCACAGCTAAGAGATAAGGTTTGAAGTCCTCCTAGCTCTGAGACACCCGCGGGATGTATTCCAAAATGCCCGATGGGTGTTCTCAGACATCCTATGTCATCTGATGTTCTGGGTTACAGGATGAATGAGGCCTACCCAGCTGCCATTGTAGCAATAATGACAGTCCCCTCAGAGGGGATACAGGGTTCCTCAGGGTCATCTAAGCCCGTAGACCCTAGACTACTTTGTGCTTTTGTGTCCCTCCATGGTCCTCACTTGTGTCTACTCCCCATCCCAGCCATTCTGCCCCTCCAAGCAAAAGAAGGTTAAGGAAACCCTGTTATTATAAAAACACATATTCTAACCTTATTTTCTCAGAAAATAAAATAAAGAAAGAAAGACATGTGGCAGCAGATAGTTTTGGTGCTCGTCAGGAGCCTTTGTCACCCAAATGGAAACCCACTGGGAGGCTAAAAACATAATGTTCCACAGAAAGGTAACCTTGGTCTCTATCCTCTTAACATTAATTACAATTAGTCAGTGGAAGCATAAATTACAACTCAGATACCTGGGAACTCCAGGTGTTCAATGAATATTAGTATTTATACACCTGAAATGATGTATGTCTTCACCAGGATTCCTAGTCAAACTCCAAGAACCAGCAAACAAAGTATTAAAGCAAAGCATTTTGGAAAGAGTATCTAAAATACACACAAACAACTCAGAGAAGTCAAACTTTGAGATTGTCATCATCCCCTCTTCCCATGAGACCATCTTGTGAGTTCTGATATGCACTTTATCCCAAGGGCAATTTGGTCTAAGAGTTGGACCATCCCAGTCATTTACATAGTCTATGTAACTACCCTGAGGGTATCACACGTAGGACTTACCAGAAATTCACTGACAAACTCCTCTTTGTGAATTTTCTTGTTTTGGGCCACGTCCAGGAACTTCTGCAGAATTTCTCTTTGGTCCATGCTGCAGGGCAAGAGAGGCGGTCTATGAGCGGGTTAAGGGAGGGCAGGCATGTCCACGGTATTTCATGGCTGAGACACCCGTACCCGCGACGAGCCACTGCAGCAGCTTGAGCAGAGTATGCTGAAGGCTGTGGTTTACTGACTTCATCATAAGCCTGAGAGGAAATTAGTATGTAACCAGCTTCTGTGGTCACACTACAAAGCCATCCTCTCCCTCCAGGGCCCTAGCGCCTTCCTTCTCAAGAAAGGAACCTGTTACAACTCAAGTTTTTAACAAACAAGACGCGCTAACCAGAATATAACGTGTGGTCTGCTTAGCTCTGAGACTGTTCCATTTCCATCACCCTTCAGTGAAATCTTTTTTTTTTTTTTTTTAGCTTCCTAGAGAAAAGGCAGAATGACAGGCCTCGTGGAGGGGTTCAGCCTCTCCCCATTTGCCCTAGGAGCAGAAAGGCCCTGTTGACACCTCCTGTTTCTCCACATCCCAAATGAACTCTGCAAAGTTCAGTTAGGCTCAGAAAGGGAGACAAACACTGTTGGGAGTTAATAAGTTTCTAAAGAGTTTCTTGTCAGTGTGATCAGGGGCCAACTTCTCATCACAGAGGGCATTTTTATTCAGAACTTTTAAGTCTGCCACACAGACCTCCAACTCCCTTTTGCGTGAGGCAAAGTCAGCTGCTTCTGACCAAGTCTGTGCTTCTCCCAGGGCTAAGGAAGTGCCCATCCCCATTATGGGAAGTGCTATGGATTTCAGGATCCACTTGACCCTCCAGTACCTTTTCAGCTTCACTTGGGCTCTGGATATAAAGACTGGCGGTATTGGTCTGATAGGATCCAGTAGTATGGTGGCCCCACAGGAGGGCCTGATCAGGAAGTTGGCATAATACCCCATCTATGTAATGAAGGAACTATGAAGGAAGAGGAAAACAGAGTAAAACCAACCACCTTGCTGGCTACAGCATAACTTTCAGGACAGAAAGCCTGAAGAACTAGTTCTAGACAAGCTTTGCCTTAGAAAAGGCCACTGTGTCAGGAAGCCAAACTGTGTCTGTGGCATTTTGGCCCCGACTGATAGGTGGGCTATTCTAAAAAAAGCTTCCATATCTCAGCTTGCATAAATTGTCTCCTCAATGGGTACAAACCTACGCAAGAGGGTCTCAGCCTGAGAACAACCCAAAGTCAGCTTATCATCTCTGTTTGGGGACAGAAGTTCAATAAATATATTAATAGATTTAGTCTCAAATAATCCTGAAGAAAACGTGCTGTTAGAACTTACTCTATTAGCAACCCTTTATGTTTTGCAACATTATTCAAACACCCTTAAGGGAATCATGATTCTTAACACTATTGGGCTGCATCCACCTTACTGAGCCTTACAAGAAGAAAGGAAAGTCGCTTTAGTATCTTGCTTATAGGCAATGTGAAGCCAATAAAGAATTTCAACCCCAATCCACACAATAAATTAAAATGAACCATAATTCTTGAACATGAGCTGCTGATAATAGGATAGTGTTTCTCAAATTATTCCCATTTAGCAATTAAAGGAGGATTTCTTGCAATGTTTAATTTGGCTATTTTAAAACATAAAACATGAGAAAAAATTTAAAAGCCCAAAATTTCAAGTTTACAATAACTAAAACAAAGTATGTACATGGTTAAACGAAGACTAAAAGATACAGAAACAAAATAAAACAAGAAACCAATCGTGTAAGTGTTGGGGTTAAGGATGCTTTTATTATACCATTTTCTTAAATTAGAAAACACCACAAAATCCATTAATTTGTTCAACAAATTTTTTGAGTACCCACTAAGTGCTAAGCACTATTGTAGGGGCTGGGAATACAATAGTGAACAAGCCAAAATCTGGTGAAAAACACCCCTAACCAGTTAATAAAGCATCTCAGATCTAAAGAGATAGACTTAATTACTGATGAGAATAAAAATATTTCAAACTAACTTACGCATTTGCAAAGCAGGAAAGGATAACCCTAAAGGGAAAATGGTTTTCTGTATTCACATAAAAGGGATATACAGTTTCATAATCTGCTCCCTTAGAATGTCTTCACTTCCATACCAGAACCTTACTCAATAAACAAAAAGATACCGAATAAAATTTAAATCTATTTTCCTGAAGCCCATAATTGAGAACAATCTCTCTCTAAGTTTCTTTTCTTGTTAGGGTGGGGTAAGATGGAGAGAGAGAGATGAGAAAGACAAAAACTTGCTTAATGCCTTCCATAGTCTTTGACCCAAAATATAAGGATCTGAAAATAGTGCCTTAGCAGAACTGCAGATCTCTTTTTAAGCAAGTAGCAGTTCTTAAGAGTGTTTGACTCTAAAACCAAAAGACAGAAACATCGTGAAATAGCCAAACCTCAAAAACCCACTTAGCTAAAAGGCCATTTCCTGAGCAGACCACTCAAGCAAGCAAAAAAACAAACTGAAGGAGAAAACAAAGCCTTTTATTTTTAACAAATCTAAGCTAATTTTTCACACTTCCTTCTGCAGGTACTGGAGAGCCTAGTGCTTTTCAATGGAGATTCTGTTGACTCATTTGTATCTTGTGGGAAGATCAAAAACTGGAGAGGGGAAACAGTCCTGTGGCAAAAATCACCATCTAAAAGAATTTGAGAATTTACTATGAAACATTTAAGCCAGTCTGGCATAAGCCCTAAGTGAACACAATTCCATGCAGTAAAAACGTCATAAACACTTTATTAGAGCCGTCAAGGGTGCGATCTAGTGGAGAAAGTAAAATTGTGAATGAAGAGGAGTGAGGAAGGACCATCCCGCTGCTCCCCTGTGCGGCTCTGCGTTTGCTCAGAAGGAAGATGACAACACAGAGGAGTGCCAATCATACTGTCACCTGATCCAACAGGAGGGGAGTGTGCCTGTTTACCGGGAAATATTGGTGTCACTGAAGTCGGGAATTAGATGACAAAAAATATTTTAACCAATGGGAAAGTCAGGGGAGGTTATCAGGACAAGATAAACTAGCCACAGTTTTCTCAGCACATTCTTCTCTAGGAAGAAGCGCGTTTTGTCCTGGGGAAGCCACTTATTAATCTTTGCTTTAGTTTCACTCGCCTGCCTTTTTCTATATCCCTGGGTCATTGATTTGATGCCAGCTATGTGTATTATCTGTGAAATATTAAGTCCTTTGTGAGTATCCTCTTGGTCACCAAGGCCTATTGACCCTTTCTCCTCAATGTCTTTTAGATTCAACCTGTCTTTTCCATTCCCATGTTAAACCACCATTCCCACAGCATTAGCCCTTAGTTATTTTATCCATATATACCTTCCACTCCAGTATCTTCCTGGTAATCCAGGCTGGGTCAAAGTTCTTAAAACTCCACTTTAGTGCTGAAGAATCAAAGTACTTGGTGATAGTCAATGGAACAAGTCCAGATTCTTCAGCCTGTCGCCTAGCCCCTCCCCATCTGTCCCCACCCAGCCTATCCAATCCCACGTCCATACACCTTGTTCATTCTACTGCTACTTCTTTTGTCCTTCTCATCTTTCCCCCTAATTTTCACCCAAATGAAAATAAAGCCATAAAGCCTAGTAGCTCTTTTCTTCGAAAGTCCTGCCCCAAACTGTCTCACCATGACATTCTCTTTAGTCTCGATCCTTTCAGTATAAATCTTTACATTCAGCTATAGAAGTTTTCTTAGTTTCTTCATATGTTCCTTGTCCCCCATCAGTTTATTTAAGTGTTTATTCAAAGGAACACAGAAAAATGCCCCCTGTAGTTTCGTTTCTCAAAGGCAGTGACAGTGCCTTCTATGCATTTGCATGACCTTAACATTTCATGTGCTTGGGCACACCTACTATAAGTCTACTGTGACAAAGTATGCCACATCACGTGGTCCACAGTGACTTGGTGACTCCCTCCCTCCGTTGCTCCAGGTCTCTCGCCTGGCACCGGCTATACTTCTCTGGCTAGGCCACTCTGGCTATGCCAGGAGCAGATGGCCCTTCACCACAGGGAGGTCCTGGAACCTGGCAAAGGGTTTCCCTGAGTGCTGCTCAAGCAGCGAGGCTGTTATTATGAAAGGAATGGGGCTGCTAATGAGACAAGAGTCCAGCTCTGAAGGGCTGCAATGGCCAGGGAAAAAAAGATGACCTCCTTTACTTCCATGATTGACCTTTCTCCTTTTGTAAATGGGCACAGAAGCGGCTTACAAAGCCCCTCTCATGAGCTTGTTTTCTTTGCTCGTGTTTTCACATCATCCACAGAAAGAAAGGCCCCGACTCATCTTCCAATCTGCTTCTTGTCGCTACAGCGTTCTGAGGCTCAGGCTCTTCAGTTCACCTGTGAACTTGCGTCAGCTTCCCACGTACCACACAGGGAATCGTACGCTACAATCTTCAGGAGGCAAAAGTCAACTAATAACTTGCAATGGAAGCAATGTACTTTTTTTTTAAATACAGTAGGGACTCGGTGAGGCTTGGTTGGCATCTTGTTCAAAATATAATCAAACAAAAGTCTCTTTTGTTTGATGTCCACTCAGTATGCATTCAGTAGGAAATCCATATCCATGCAAGAGAATGGGGACGAGGGATGCTACAAAGGTATTCAACAAATTGTCTTCATTCAAGGATCCTTTATTTTAGTAGAGAAGTACACAAGTAACTATGATTTATGGCCTTTAGTGATAAGACCATAACATGGTACAAAAAATTTTTTGAAAAGGCAAAGATCACTTCTTATTCAGGTTACTGGGATAGCCTTCCTTCATAGAGGAAGTGACATCTGAGTTGGGTCTTGAAGATGTCAACAGCCTGAGAAAGCAATATGAAACATACAGAACAGTAGGAGGAGGGTGGCTTTGTGAAGGGCTTGATTTGACTGGAACACTGGTTATGTAGAGAGTCTTGACTAACGAGGCCAGAAAGGGCAGCTGGGGCCAGACCCTGGGGGGGGAACTTAAATATCAGGCTGAAGAGTCAGGCTTTCATTGATGGGCAGTGGAAAATCAATGAAGGATTTTTTTTTAAACAACTTTATTGAGGTAGTATTGACATACAATAAACTACACATTTCAAAGTATAGAGTTTGGTAAGTTTTGGCATGTGTGTATTATATACCCATGAAACCATCACCACAATCAAGATAACAAACATATCCCATCACCTTCGGAAGTTCCACTGAGAGATATTAAAGAGAACGACAATCAAAGCGATGCTCTGGGAAAATGTTTCTTGATTTTTAAAAAATGAACGTTCCCTCCTAAGAAATTTTTTTAAAGTCTCATAATCTCCTGCAGTGGTATGTAAAATTTCAAAATGAATTATAACATATCTAAAAATGAATAAAACAACGGACAAAGAAACCACAGCTTTGGTTGATCTGGCGGCAGTAGACTGCACAGACTGGAATAGGACAGGCCTGGAACAGGAGGATCAATCGAAAGCTTAAGCAAGAGGCTTTTTCAATAGCCCAGGTAATGAACTTTTGTAGGAAGAATCAAATCAAAAAGGAAGGAATACGTGAAAGACTAGTTGGGTGAATAGGATGGGAAAGAGGGAGAAAGGAAAAATGACTGAAGTTCTGAGCTAGTTGGATGGCCGTTGGGGCAAGTATGGGGATAAGAAAGGTATATAGAAATAAAGGGTTAGTGTTTGTGGATATGGATTTGGGAAGAAGGGAAATAAGCCAGACTTACAAATCAGCCACATCAAGGCGAAAGGCAAAAGCACAGATTGGCTTGCTTTTGTGAAAGACAAAAGTTAAGGGAGAGAAAAAATGTCAAGCTAGAACTTTATAAACTTTAAATCACAGGGACTCCAAACTGTTTAAGCAGCACTTAAAATATTCCAGGCACTGGGCTAAGCCCTTTACAAGTAGTACTGCTTCATTTATCCCTCATAGTAATTGTATGAATTACCAGATCATCGCTATTTTAAGATGTGGAACCTAAGGCATTGGATTACCTGCCCAGTGTCACATGATTCATCTATGGTGAAAGAAAATTGTTAACACCAGACCATGTTAAATGCATTCTTAATTTCTGGGCTGCAGTGTCTTCTTCCTGTGTAGCCCAATTACTTCAGTTTTCCTAGGACGGAGGGTGTAGCAACAAACACAACACCTAGGCTAGAGAGCTGTCCAGGGTAGTCCCAGGGGCACCATAGCCTCTATCCCAAGACACTCAAGTAAACTTGGAACTAGATTCATGGTCTGATGTTTTACAGGCAAGACAGGATAGAAGAGGAGCTGGTACAGTTAAGAGGGAAACAAAAGGACAAAAAGGAAGCTGCTGGCCTCTGACATTTACCACTCAATTTAACTTTTCCAGGTTTACTGAGATATAATTGACATTTAACATTGTGTAAGTTTAAGGTATACAACGTAATGACTATATATAGCAAAATGATTACCATATTTTGTGTGTGTGAGAACTTTAAAGATCTCCTCTCTTAGCAACTTGCCAACCCCTGTTCTAAAGTGATGGTTCTCAAACTCTGGAGGTATGTTAGAATCACCTGTGGAACTGGTTAAAAAGTTAGGATCCTAGGCCCTAGCCCACCCCTACAGAATCAGAACCTCTAGGGACAGGGCCTGGAAATCAGCCATTTTTAAGGCCAACAAATGGCATGTGCAATCACACTTTGAAAAACACTGTGGTATGCAGCTAGCTTCACCCAAGGTGAGCTCGCCCTACTGTCCTAGATGTGGGTCAGCACTTCCTGCTTCTGGTGGCAGTAAAAATGCAGTGACTGTTTTATGTTTCTTTGGTCTTTCTAGTAGCAGGGCAGATAAACAAACTGCTATTTTTCATTCTAACCCTGAAAATGCATACAATAATTCTGCTCAGGTGAAATTAACATGAAATTTAGGTTGTGAATTTAAAAGAAAGTCCTCAACTTAAAATAACAAGATTTCCCAACCAAAAATCTCCCTGAAATCTTTTAAACTGAAAAATTAGTAGATGAGAGCTTTACCAAACACGGGGATAAATCTGAAGGACTAGTTTACTGGGCATGCCCTTCCCCCCAAAATATCTCCAGCAAAGGACTGTCCCATTACCTGGAATTCCACTACTAACTAGTCATTGCTTTGTGCCTGGAGGTCTTTGCTTCAACAGACTCTCATTAAAACTTATACATACAGAAAGTATAAAATCTCTGCTGACCTCTGGGAGCTGCTCCAAACTTTAACAATCCATAGAAAATAAATTATTCAGCTAAGGTCAGTTTTGTCCAAAAGAAAGGGCTTTTTATTGGGTTGTCTGTTGGAATTACCAGAAATCAATCACATGATTAGTCAAAGCAGAAGAGATGCTCAGACTGGGAAACGGCTCCGCATCTTCAGCTCTCCAGGTTTTCCTAGGAAGGACAATGAACATCATACAGTCAAAGGGACGGTCGTCAGGAACTCCCTACGGAAACCAGCAATGATGCTCAGACACCTCTGGGGAATGCAGCTCTGATCAAGGCTTCTACTGATCCTGGAAAGTGAGCGCTCTATGAGAGCAGGTGTTATGATGGCTCAACCATGGGCTTAGAATGCCTCTGATAGTTATCACTACATCCAGTGACACTAATCGTTTTTTGTTAGGTAATAGTAAGATGATTCTGAACTGCCTCGACACACAGCCAAAGATGTGAGGGAAATTCGCCAGGGAACAGATGAAGCCAGGCTGAGATTAGAACGCCACCACCAATTCACTTGGCAGATGTGCAGGAAGTGGAGATTAGCTGTGTAGAGTTAGCAGTCAACATTTTAGGCAGCATGACTCTGGGGACCAACACCCACAGGCTGAACTTCTGACTGTTGTCCTTTTCCGTGGTAACAAAAACTCCTGGCATTTTCGGCAAAGTAAGGAGGCCGTTTTCCTGCTCGGGTTTCCAACTTACAAGAAGGATCCTGAATTGGAGTCCCAGGTATCGGTGCCAGGGACTACCAGCAAATACCTAGCCAAGCCCGGGGCCCCAACATACTTACCCAACCTCCCTGGCTCTGGACGAACTCCCGGATGGCACCATTCCCACTGATCATACTTGTCATGGAGAGTGCCACCTGTCTTGCCAGTTGGGGAGCCATGCGGGTCACATGTTCAAGCAGTTTCACTGACACTGCCAGGAAGGCTCTCTCGTAAGCTAAGCTGGGATCCAGAGCATGCCAGGCATTGCTGAGAAATTTTACTGTGTCCTCAAGTATAGCCCCTGCCTGGGGAGAGACACAGGGTATATCAGTGGGATAGCACTGAAAAGGGCACGAGGCTGCAGGTACAGGGATCCAGTCAAGCAAGTGTTTCCTGAAGGGTGGCAAATGGACCCCTGTTGCATCTGAGGTCATCTTAGGGAGTAAGTAGATGGATAGACTTTTCTCATTTTACTATTTTGGTAATTATTGTAATGGGTGTTAGAAAAACCAGAAGTAGCCCATCACAGCCTTGATTTCAGATATTATTGCCTAGAATGAACCAAGCGATTGAAAGAAAAACACCATCATTTGAAAGAAAAATATTAAGTACATGACAGGATAGGTCAAACTGTAAAGGAATTGCTTGAATGGCTGAAGTCTGGGAAACTCTCATGTAAAAAAGTAGATTAGCTTTTTCTCTTCCTCTTTCCTTCCCCCCAAAAATGTGGTCCAAAAGCCAATAGGTAGGGTCAAGCAAGATCTATCGTAGTGTAGAGTAGGGGGGGTCCATGGTGGTCAGAGCAGGGTGTCAGAGCCCAAATAAGCTGAGAAGGGTATCCCACGGGAGAGGACCTAGACCTTGGTATTCCAAATATGGTTCTCTCATAAAAGAGATCAGAGCTCCCTGGAGAATGGCTGATTTCCGGCTAGGGCTTGGAAAAATACAAGGTCTTTTGTCAGAAATCAAGGAAGTACTCAGAGAAAAATAAGGACATACCAAACAACACAGACCAGATTGAAAGGACTCCCACTGGCCAGAGCTGGGACAATTTGAGCATTCAAATAAATAATGATAGGAACAGACTGCAACCCACTGAATAAAGTAGGATATTCATGAGTCTATAGTGATATAAAGAATAAAGGAATATACTGAAATTTTGATAAGACATGGGCTATTTATATGGTTTCAAAGTACCTCCCTACAAAATGCTTATTGATTACAAAGGGGAAATGAGTAACTTTACAGTGGAGAAGCCTTGCCGAGACCATCTAAGGGATTCAAGTCACCACCAGTAGTGGGAAAGCCGGAAATCTGTGCCCCTTGACAGGATGTAATGAGAAGAACACAGCGACACTTCTGTGATATTCCTACCAAAGGTATGTATCCTGAGTCCATTCACGAGAAAACATCAAGCAAACCCAAAGGACATCCTACAGAATAACTGGCGTATAATTTTCAAGTTTCCAGGTGATGAAAATCAGTGGACTGAGGAACTATTCCAGATGGAAGGAGACTAAAAGGATGTGACAATGAAATGCAATATCTGATTCTAGCTTGTATCTTTTTCCGATGAATGACATCAGTGGGACAACTGGCGAAAGTTGAATGGGGTCTTAAGATGAGATGAAAATTTACCAATGCTAACTTCCTGACTTTCATGGTTTAACTGTGGTTATATAAGAGAATACCCTTGTCTGAAGGAAATATGAAAAAAGGATTAGGGGGTGATGGAATATCACGTTGGCTACTCACTCTCAAATAGTTCAAGAGGGCAATTCTTTGTACAATACATGTAACTTTTCTGTGAGTTGGGAGGCTGTTTCAAAAATACTTTTTAATGAAAAAAAGGAGATTCAGCTATCAGCTACCTAGGAAAGCTTCAGTGCAAACAATTAGGAGTCTAGTTCTAGCTGAATGTAGAATAGGCACACCACCCAACTTGTATTCAGTAGGAAGAATAAAGCATTAATGGTTCTGTGATCAGTCAGGGTTCAAATTCCCTAGTTCTGTTTCCTTCTCTGCTTAAATGGACATCAAGTCAGGAAATACTTACTGAGGGTGTATGATGTATCAGACACTACTCTAGACTGTGTGAATACAACAGTGAACAAAACGGGTTAGATGTTTGCCCTCACAGTATTATATGCAGATGGGGAGAAGTTGTGCTATGGATAATAGTTTCTATAATACCTCATAAAGTGGTGTAAAGGTTAAATGAAATAATAAGTATAAAGCAGTCAGAGTACTGCCTGGCACATGGTATGTGATGAATATTAGCTGTAATTGTTGATATTAATCAGCAACATCTTCTAGAACATGTATGGGTCTTTATATCCAATACAGAGCCTAAGTACTACTACCAGTAATCAGCATTCTAATAAACAGCCAGAGATGCCCCCGGGGGCTACTGTATCATTATCCCTCATTGCACCCAACTTGTCAACTGTCTATCCTTCCTGTATATAATTTCATTGCTGGACCCTGGAAGAAAAAAAGGTGCCCACATCCAGAACAATAGGCATTAAAACAGGTGCTTAAAAAAATAAAAGTGCATTAGCAAGAATAAAGTGCTAAAGATATGGTCTATGCTACTAAGCACAGCTCTGACAAAAACAAAACAAAACAGAAACAATGTGAAGGTTGATCAGACTGTGCTACAAGCTTTCCATCTTAGTACTACGGAGGTTTTGATTAACCCCTTAAGAATTTGCAACTGGGGCAGGCCAGGTGGCACAGTTAGTGCACGAGCTCTGAGCAACAGGGAGCCACTGGGTCGCTGGTTCGAATCCCACATGTGCCAGTGAGCTGTGCCTGAACTGAGCTGCCAATGGGCTGCCAGATGGCTCAGCTGATGAGAGCACATGCTCTTAACAAAAAGGTTGCCGGTTCAACTCTCACACAAGATGGTGGGCTGCGCACTCCCCCTACACCCCCGCTCTGCAACTAGATTGAAAGCAGCGACTGGACTTGGAACTGAGCTTGCACCCTCCACAACTAAGATTGAAGGACAAGTTGACTTGGAGCTGATGGGTCCTGGAAAAAACACAATGTTCCCCTTCCCCAATTCCCCAATAAAATCTTTAAAAAAAGAATTAGCAAAATTGGAGAATTCCTGCTGTATCTCCCTGAAAGACTCAAATCTTTCACAGAACATTTCTAGTCACACTCATATAGGAGTAGTAAGAAAATTGTGTCTGAAATGAAAAACAAAGCAGCAAACAATAGAAAGAAACAGGGGACACTTGACCTGCCCCCGACTGGTTTCCTCAATGACGCGTTGCACAGAAGCTTCCAGTTCCCCGTTGAACTGGTCCCCCAACACCCGAAGGCGACCAGCGATGATGGCCGTGTCAAAGGAGCAGGCCTCTCCTAAGACAGAGGGAACAAACACAGCCACATGTGTCACAATACCTGAAGGGAAGGCAAGTCCCAGGAATCTGGGCATTGGAGAAAGTTCTCTAGAGTTTTAAATAATTTTGGCATTGTTCTCTCCCAAGAACTCTTCAATGTTCCATCAGCACCAATGGTCAGAAAATCGCCCTTTGCTGAGAACCCTTCCCTTCCACAAAGGCTTCAAGGCTTTGTTGAAAGCTTTGAGTTTGTCTTTTGAAACGTAGGTGGAAATAAAAAAGCATACTTGAGATTCTCCTCCTGATCTGCTGTCATCACCTCAGGCCAGGAGCCTTACCTGAATCTGTTTCGTCTTCATACTGTAGGTTCCGTTTAGCAACCTGTGACGTGGTTCCTAAGAAGTCTTTGAGTAGAAACTCCACGATGCATTCTGTTTGTTCCTCAAAAGTTCGGGGGCTCTTCATTTTAGATGTTTGTGCTGAGTTGTGCTTGAAAACAAGCAGTTTTCAGTTCAGCAGTAAGTCAGAAGCACTGGTAAATCAGCAGCTGTGTCTACCTCTCATCAAGTTCCCTAATGGGACATAGGGTCCTAGAGCCTTTCCTACCACCTTGCTTCAAAAATCACTATTCAGATAAGTGAGGCTCCTCTGAAGAGCTTACCCACAGAGAACTGCTGGCTGAATACTTTTAGTTCCTTCTCTTCAAGCCACACCCAGTATCTAAGGATAATGAGTAACTTAGTTCAACTGCCAATTTTCAACTGAACTAGTGTTGAGGAAGAACCCCTAGGGCCAGTTCACTAAGAAATACTTCCTGGGCTGGCCGAGTGGCATGACGGTTAAGAGCTGGCTTGGAACGCCAGAGGGCCCTGGTTCGGATCCCACATATGAGGGCCAGTGACACTGCCCTCTACAGCTAAGATGCTGAACAA